CTCGGCGCCGAGAATAGATGGGTATTTGATGCATGTTCTGACAATGCTGTAAAGGATAAAGAGGGAGAGTTTTCCCTCTCTGCTTAGTGGAGCACTCAGACAAGCTGAAGGAAAAGCACCCTTCCGTGGTGTCTGGGGGGGCAGGAACTCTGAGCCTTCCCTCCTTCACCCCTCATGGCAGCTTCCTTCATTGCGGGCTGTGGGAGCACGGCGTAGAGCCAGCAGCGTCTCTTAGTGCTTGGATACGCTGGTGTAGAGGCAGTGACATTCAGGCCTGAGTGCTCCTGGGCTCTGGCACTTTTTCAGACATCGGGCAGACAGGCAGATCTGCCCCTCCCGAGTCTTAAGCGCTGCGTGCTGAGCGTTCCCGTTGTGCTTTTTACCAAAACACACATGCATGCAGCCTGGTCGGGCAATGGATCAGCGAGGAGCTGGTGTCCGTGACAGCTTCCCACCCTCCAGCAGGCCAGAGCCCTAGGGGAGAACTCGGGAGAGGCACTTCTGTGGTCCTGATGCTCTGGTGTCACCAGTGCGGTTTTGAAAGATGTGAAGTGCAGCGAGCATCCAGCCCCCGACCTGGGCAGCCAGAGGTAGCTTTTTGTCCTTTTGGGTGAGTGGGCTGAACTGGCAGAGCCCGGCAGCTGATCCAGAGAGTGCTGGTGAGAGGCTGTGGGCCTAAGACTGCAGGTAGGCATTGGTGCCGAGCAGATACTTTGCTGGTAGAGCCTAAGAAAGATGGTCTGCAGGGCCCCCTTTGGAAGCAAGGTGTAGGAAGCTCGAGCCACGCTTCTGGAATGAGAGCTAAGGGCACTGGGAACGACATGTACAGTCCTGCACAGCCCCTAGAAACCAGTTCTCACCTGTGCTCCCCACTATTACAATATCATGTCAAAAAGGACAGAGCTTGGGGCTAGTTTTGCATTTGGGAGTCTTGCGGTTACCTGTGACAGCTCCTTTCTCTCAGCTCTTAAAGCCCAGCCTGACATCTCTAGTGAGGCAGACTGACCTGAGCTGTGAGGGCTGAAGGTTTGGAGGCACTGCCTGGCTCGTGCCCCCCAGTTTGGTTTTTTGGGTTTTTTTTTTTTTGCATTTCTGCCTCAGGCACAGCAGTTAGTTAGTTAGGTCTCCTCTCTTATCGCCCCAAGTGCTTCAGAGCCAGTGCTGTACTGAGCACCCTGCAGTGCTCTCCTGCCGCTATCTGGGAGCTGCAGTGGCGCCGATAAATTAATGAGTGTCTGGGATTAATTAGCAATGAGTTGCCTCGACTCGCCTCACTCCCAGTAAAGCAGGATTTACACCTCTCGCTCTTTCCACCCACAGAGGAAGGCAAGGAAGCTGCTCGGGTTTCCCAAGGGTCACAGAAGCAGAGGAGCTGCACTCGCCGGATGTCACGCTCCGACCTCGAACAGCTAGCCCAAGGAGAAGAGGACATTGTGGAGGACTTGGCTTTCTCTGATGACGACTGAGTACCCTCGCAGCCTCCCTCTCCAGGCTTAGCCCTTACGGAGCTGCTGCATACTGGTTCACGCAGCCTTCAGCACCTGTAGCTGGGTCTCAGAGGTGGTGAGCGCTGGGGAGCACGGAGGGTGGGCGGCCAGCCCCAGGTGCCACCAAGGACTTTCTCAGTGACACAGCAGAGACGCTATTTGGACTTTCAAGCTTTTTCTATCAGTTATGTTTTTGGTAACAATAAAATTGTGGTCACGTCAAGGCCAGTAAAACTGCTCAGCATAGGTAATAAAAAGCCCTCATTAAAATCTGCTGCTTTAAATAGCATAGGGTTCAGTTTCAGCTCCTGTGAGTGAGCTGACCAAGGGAAGGACAAGTTCTTTTGTCTAAGGGTCCTCCCGTCCGTTCAGCCAGCCACCTGCGTTGCCCCGCATTTGCTCTGGGGCCTCACCAAACCCCCCCTTTTGCTAAGGAGTAAGTTCTTAAGGATGGCATAGAGTGTTTCAGTGCTGCAAATGGCGGCCTTTATCAGTAACATCAGAAGCAGCTCAGGCAGTTCAATCAAGCTGGATGTAAGTATGCTAAAGACGTTAACTGTAAGCAAGTGCCTTAGGATATGGGGGGGAACGGGAGGTGGCGCAGGCAGAAAGGAGTAAAAAGAGGCAAAACTAATGATGTAGGAAACCTACTTTCATTTTGTGATGGCAGTTGGATTTGCGTGGGATACATTTGCTTAGCAAAAACACGGGACAAGTCTGAGCCCGTGCATTGTAACAGACGCGTTGTTATCCGTAGTGACATAAAATCACCTCTTTCTAGGGCCAGTCCTCGCTGCCGATGCTGGTGGTGAACACAGTTTTGTTCTGCGAGGCCTGAAAACAGCAATAACGATTGCAGGCTGTCGTGGGCACCCAGACTTTCGTTATTACCTCTGCATCACCGGGGCAGCTTCTAGATGCAGCTCATTAGGTGTCCTCCTGTAGGAGCGGTGCTTGTGGGAGGACGTTGCGTAGCTCAAGGTGGGTAAGGGCAATTTGTGATCTGCTGCGAAAATATAAACAGCGTAGCTCTTGAGAGCCCTGTTAGTTTGCAGGACTGGCAGCTAGGAAACATAGTTCTTTGGAAAATAAACTGGAAATAGAGGGTATTTGCTGAGAGAGGTAGGAAAAGTTAAGTATTCTTAGGGTATATCTGACAGAATCACTCCTGAAAATTAACTGTGCCTTTCAAAGCATTGTTATTTGTTAATGCAGATTTTTGGAAAAGAAGAGAGGGGGCCAGGACTAAACACGATCTTTGTTCTCCACCGCCATTCAGTGAGGTCAGTAGCTGTCTGCCAGCGCTGGGGTGGCCAAGCTGCCTGCACAGACGTGTTCATCGCTGCCTTCTACATGTTCCCCTCCAGGCATCCTTACTCCTGCACATCACAAGAGGACAAGATGCTTTTTTTAAAAAAAATATTTTAAAAGAACAACCTTTTTCCTTTTTAAAGTTCTATTTCCATGGCGTCAGAAGAACCACAGCTCAGAAACACTGCCTTATTGCGGCTAAAACCCCGAGTGTACTGTAGCCTGGCTAGTGGTCTCCCTCTCGCCCACATGTGTGAGTGCTAACAACTCGGTGTACGTAAAGAGGTAATTATGCTCTTCCTGTCCTACGCTGAGTGCTGCTCCTTGCCCACTTCCAGACATCATTACCGCACAGGTAATTACTGCTCTAGTAGGGTGTTGTGGGGTGTCTGCTTCATTCAGAGTCTGTTACGTCTTTTTGGAGCTCAGCGGCAGGAATAGGGATAGAGAGGGTTTCTTCTTCCCAACTGCAGTTACAGTAATTACTGGACCTGCCCTCCCTAGACATGCATCTAGATACTCTTTGTCCCGTAAGGGGGAGGAAGTAACCTTAGAAATTAGTAATTAAGTTTTATTATTATCATCATCATTATTATTATCATTTATAGCCCACTCCGAGGGGCCAAAGCACCTGCTGCTTCCTTAGGGGTTTCAGGAGTGCTCGAGACTGAGGTTCCCTATGGCTGGTAAAGCCTCTGTCTTCAGGCGTATGGCAGCCTGGGCTGTGACTGCAAAGGTGAGAATTGTAAGAAAAAGGTTTAACTTACCTTTTCTTCCAGAAGGGAAAGGAGTTGCTTTTTCTCCTTTCTCTGACTTAGCTGGGCAAGGTGCTGTCTGCCTCCCAGCAGCTGTGAGCTAACCCTCAGGCTGTAGCCACTCCAGCACCCCACGAGTTACCCACCCCGGGGGAAGGCGTACGGCCCCCCGTACGCACAGCGAAAGGAGACGTCTTAGGTAAACCAGCCACTTGCAAGGAGCTCAGGAAGCCAGGTACCATTTGTAAATTAAGTGTTTTTCTTTTTTATTTAAATTGATTGCTGGAAAGCATTTTTATCGTGATGTGATGGATAATGACTTTTTTTTTTTTTTTTTTACAATATAAAGGAAGCTAATGTACCACCAAGCTATTTTGTAAGAAAAACGGTAGCTTTTTAGCCTGAATCCCCCAGCATCCCTCCCCCTCCTCTGGGAACGCACAGGTATCTGTCTCATGGTCCACAGCAGGCCAGAATGTGCAACTACATCCACCTCTGTAACAAGGCTTTAAAAATAACAAAACCAACCCTACGAACAAAAAAACCCACCCCAAATGTATAAATGAGTCTGTTGTACACGTGAAGGAGGGAGGGGGCCACGCTGGAGTGAGGCCTGTGGCCCCTCCTCCCACCAAAGCACATACTCTTTTCTTCTTCTCTTTAAAACAAAACATCTAATGAAAAAAAAAACCCAAAAACCTCTGCAGGGCTGGAGCACAGGCAGAGTCCGTTCTCTGTGTGTGCTGACAGGGCCAGCGCTGAGCCGCCTGTGCCGTACCATCCACACTGAAGTAAACATGGACCGGAACTTGCCTTTTTTTTCTTCTTTTTCTTTTTTTTTTTTTTTGTCTTTTTGTCTGTCTTTGGTATTGTTTTAAAAGTTGCTAGAGATGCATAGACACCTGAATGAGGAACTGCGTACAGTTTCCAGGGAGGAGGAGATATTTGGGAAGGTGGTTGGTTACATTTTTGATGGGTTTTTTTGCTCAGGGGTGCTGAGTACCATCGGGAGGAGCCGTGCCTGTTCCCCTCCCCTGCTTGCAGTCACACCCAGAAGTTCCTGAAAGCCATGTTTCTTTGAAGACAAAGAAAAGCGCTCATTCCCTGTCCACGGCACTCCATCTCAGACTGGTGAGCAAGAAGGGGTGTGAAAAGGAATGGGGATGCTGCTGACGTCCTCCAGAATCATTTTCTTTCTCTTCACTCGTGTTGTCTCAGTACATCTTTGGATCGTTTTCTTTCCTTCCCTTTTTACAGTTTTTAAAACTTCTGTGGTTTGTTTTCTTTTTGAACAAAAAGCAAATGCATCCAAAAAAATTAAAAACCTCCCTTCCTCACTCCTGTGTCTCACGCTGCTGAGGGAGGCTCTCCTGGTCTCTCAAAATGCGTTACCTTCAGTTGTTCAACTGAATCTCAGTCCCAGAAGCAGTCAAGAGCTGTCCTGCAGTTAAGATGGAGGTTTCGTGGCGTCATTGATCCCAGCAATGATGGAGGGGTTTCCGTTTTCCTGCTTTGGTGAGACGCGGCTGGCGGAGGGCAGGCCGCTGCTGAAAGGGGAGGCCACGCTGCCTGTGGAGGACGGCCGGAGATCAGCCGCGGGCAGGTCCCGCTCCGGAGGCCGTAAACCAGGAGGCTGCAGTGGGAAAGCCATGGGGAAGCCTGCCATGTACAGAACTCTGCCCACTCTCTTGGCGACCTATTAAAAAGAAAAAAAGGAGGAAATAAATGCAGGGGGGGACTAAAAAGGATGAGAATGTGCACAAACTGTCTTTAGAAATCCACAGAAGCTGCCTTTTCCTGCAGCAAGGCCCGGTTCTGTACTCCAAAGTGAACTGCAAATAGAAGAGCTACCCTTCCCAATCCATCAAAAAACATCCCCTTGGTGACCTCCCAGAGAAGACATGGGAAGGTTTCCCTCTCTCCTTTTTTCTGAAGGACTCTCTCCTGCAGTCGGGCTCCCCAGCTCTTACTCTGGGCGCTTTGGTGCGTGGCAGCTGGAGCCGCAAGGTCCGCCCTAGATCACGTCCCAGAGACTAAAGATGTGCTGGGACCTGGCGTGCAGGCCCTTCTCCCGTGATGTGCTTTGGGGGACCGGGGGGGCCGGGGGCGACAGCGGGAGGGAGAAAAAAATCTGGCTACAGGGTGGCTGCTGCTAACTGCACAGGAAGCGGTAAGCCTGCAGCCTCTCCCTTCTGCGGTACCCAAGAAAGCTCTCCTGAAGCAGTTCTCGCCTCCCAGCAAGGGCCAAAGGCCCCACGACTTTCCAGCACCTACACAGCTGTTTCACATTTAAGCTTAAACAAAAACACAGGCTTGTGTTCAAACCAGACAACTGCGGCATTATTCAGTTAGCAACATCAGGACTTCGCTCCCCACTTACCCCCCCCCACGCCTTATTATAGAACTTTAAACACTATTGATTAAATCGAAGCAGGGTTTTTCTAGTTTCAGCCCATATCTCATATTCCCCCCACCAAATCCGATCTAAGAATGTCTGTGCGCTATTTGGCGTTCTCTGTTTTTAAGAAACATAAGAGTTTTATTTCCTCCCGAATTGACCCACAGGGAACAATTGCCCACAGAACCTTTTTATTAGACCCCTCATAAACAGTGAGGGCTGTAGGGCA